GCATTGTAGGGGAGAGTTACAGAGTGGTCTGTATTGGAGTTGTGTTTAGAATAAGGTTATCAGACGTCCCCGTTTCCCAGGGACAGTCCCTGGATTTACAAATCAATCCCCTGACAAAATCCACTGAATTTGACTGAAGTTGAAAAGTGTCCCCGGATTCATTGAAAAAAATAGTTTAGAAGTCTGGTGTTGTAAGCAAAAATTATTCCAAACCACTGCTGGTATAAACTGAGTAGGGGGTGTGATTCTGTGGTTTGCCTCAGGTGCCAAAATGCTTTGGTCTGGCCCTGCTCTGAACACGCCTCAAGTGCTTTTGCCCGGCTGAAATGTATCCCAGAACTGTGATGATCCCTCGTGTTTATAGTGTGCGCACAAACAGAAACCTAGGATTTTTGCATGGCTTGAATGTAGCCTATTATTGTCTATACAAAGGTGAGATACATCCCTTCCTCTGCCCGCTCTTTGCCTTTGGTTCCACCCAGCAATGGCATGCAGCCCTCTGAGAGCGCCTCACAAGGGAACAAGGCTCTGGGACTGAAAAATGTTTCTCACGTCTGGCCTAGAGTAACCAAGGCTGCTGCTCCAAACTACAACTAAACACTTTGGTACTACAAGGCTTGGGCTTAATATTTCCAAATCCCATTGTGGGGAGATTTCTACCTTAATCCAGAAAGCTGTCTGGAAAAACCATCTGCAAGGCTATTTTGAAGGAAACAGATGGAAAAGGAAGTGATTCCTCTGAATGTAGTATAAGATTTACATTATCCTCCATGAACTTCCATGTAGTCCCTATGTTTATATTTTATCATTATTTCCTTAGACAGCTCAGATTAGGAAGCCTGCATGAGCTCATGTTCTTGTTAATTTTGAGCCTGAACTATTTGTTTTTATAGATGATTTCGGTCATGTAAAATAAAAGGGAGTAGTAAGGGATAGAGGCACGAGACTGAACTGTGGCAGGACTCTCATCCTTCTTAGGCTGTACAGCCTTCTCAGGCATATTCCAGCTTCCCAAATAAAAGGGCTGCTAGTTTTTCTGAGGCTCAAAGTACATATTGAGAAAGACAGATAATAGATATCCCAAGCTTCCCCCTTCAAGCTGATCTCCTTTGCGGAATTATTGTCCAATTTTCTATGCATTTCCAAAACATATTTATAATACAAGCTTGGGTGTCCACCTTTCAGTTTACTCTCTCCCATAATAGGAGAGAAAATGAAACAGGAAGAACATGTTGGAAATGTTAGAAGAAGGCTGCTTGTGGCAAGAACATGGCCTGCTCCCTTCTCTCTGCTTCCTTGCCTTGAGATTTAATACTTTCACCTGGGAACAGGTTAAGACCATAGCCCTATGCTTCTTTACTTAGGACTAAGTCCTACTGGACCTCGTGGGACTCACTTCTAAGGAGGCAAGAATAGGTTTCAGGCCAATTTTAGGTTAGACCGTGAGACATGGTAACCCTGTCTAAGGCCAAATCAATATTTCTACGCTAGTCGCTATACTCAAATGAGCAAAGATATTTTTAACCCGCCAACTAGAACTGCTAGAGGGGAATTGCTGGTAACAAAACTACTCTATCATTGCTGAAAAAATGATCCCAAACCATAAATTAGGTTATCTCCATTATTTCTAAAGTAATAAGGTTTTCTTAAAAAAAATAAAATCAAAAATCAGCAGCTTGGTTTTAGGAGATGTGACAAGTTGAAGTCTGTGAGCTATTACAAAGAATGTTTTGTTTGGGAGTGTGGGTGGAAAGAAGCACTGGCAATCAGCAGACCACCAGGATCCCAGTTAAAGATGCTGGAACCCACCCAGACCCTACTGATAGCTTGAACTGGAGGAGGAGCAGGCTCATATAGAAGTAATCTATAAAGCTGCCCAGCAAACACAGTGCGAGACAGATTCTTAGATTCCTAAGGGAGCCTCCCCTTCCAGGTGCTACAGAAGTCTTTTCCTGTGGTTTGAAGATGTTGGCAGGACCCAGTGAGCAGCTGACCAGCAGGATACATCACCATCTTTATAGATTATAAAGCTTGCAGATCTCCTAGACTTCGGGCCTCCAAGCACCTCACCATCCCTGAATCAAGCAATGGCTGTTGATATTTCTAGTTTTCTTGTCTATCATGTGTACAGTGGTACCTCGGGTTAAGTACTTAATTCGTTCCGGAGGTCCGTTCTTAACCTGAAACTGTTCTTAACCTGAAGCACCACTTTAGCTAACGGGGCCTCCTGCTGCCGCCGGAGGACGATTTCTGTTCTCATCCTGAAGCAAAGTTCTTAACCTGAAGTACTATTTCTGGGTTAGTGGAGTTTGTAACCTGAAGCGTATGTAACCTGAGGTACCACTGTAATTCCTTCTAATCCTGATAAGCACCTGTAATGCTGTACTGAAGACCAACATCTACAAAGTGCTCCCCCTCCTACCCACTTACATCTCCCCTGGCACCCCCCCCAAGGAGTCGTCCCCCCCCCCTCAGACTTTGGTTTCTCCTTCCCTAGCTGTGGGCTGACTCCCTCTCAGATTCCCTGGCTGTGTTCCTTTGTCTCAAAGAGAAAGGGAGAGATGAGACTCCTGCTTCCCCAGCTGAGGCAGTAGGACCCTGGGAGCCAAAAGCATCTGCTCCCCCCAGCCTCTTCTCTCTGGTCTCAGCCCCCACCCGAATGTCATCCTCTTTTCTCTCCATCTTCACGTGTCACGGCCGGTCACTCCACTCCTGAGCCAGTCATGCCTCAGGACTCAAGAAAACACTGCCATTTTTTAGTAACACCTGAAGAGAGCTTCCCCATCCTTTCATGGATCCTGAAACTGCTTCTGATCCTCAGTGTCTCCTCTATTATACTCACTAAGGATGTTATGCTCATATTATACAAAAGTCTACCGTAGTTTTCCATGTTAAGCGGTGTGTAATAACTACCATGTTCCGGCTCTGTGTTTGGAGTCTGTAAAATGGTTTAGAGCTCCCATTTCATCCATAAATATTCATTGAAAAGGTGAGAAAACAACCCTTTTAAGCAAGACAATGTGACAAAGTGGGGTTAATGGCTGTTTAATCGGCCAATTCTGCATTGCTAGAAGGCATTGTCTGTGGGTCTACCTTTGAAAATGGTCTAGAAAGTTTGGTCAGGCCAAAATAGCCTGGCCAGATTGTCAACTGGGACTGGCTAAAAGGAACATATTATGCCAGTGCTCTGTAATCTACAATGACAGCTAGTCTCTTTCTAGGCCCTAAGCATCTTCCCATATGTACCTACCCAGATCTTAAGGTCATCTTCTGAGGCCCTTCTGCAATTGCCCCTGCTGAAGGTGGTGGCTACTAGAGAAAGGGACTTTTCAGCAGTTTGCCACTTTAAATATTATTTTAGTCTTTCAGTTTTAAAAATTTGTTGTTGTTTATCACGGGTCAGCAACCTTTTTCAGCAGGGGGCCGGTCCACTGTCCCTCAGACCTCATGGGGGACAGGCAAAATAATATATATACATATATATATATATATATATATATATATATATATATGAATTCCTACGACCCACAAATAACCCAGAGATGCATTTTAAATAAAAGCACACATTCTACTCTTGTAAAAACACCAGGGAGGCCCCACAAATAACACAGAGATGCATTTTAAATAAAGGGATACATTCTACTCATGTAAAAACACGCTGATTCCCAGACCGTCTGCAGGCCGGATTTAGAAGGTGATTGGGCTGGATCCGGCCCCTGGGCCTTAGTTTGCCTACCCCTTTAGATCATTAAACTGCTGTTGGATTTATTCCATGGCTGTTATAATTTGCTTTAGCTTCATTCTTTTATAATTATTATTGCGTTTTGTAGTTTTTAACTTCTGTTTTGTCACCATTTGGCTATAAAGAAATGTTAGTAAAAAAAAAAGTTTAACATGCCCCTGATGAAATAAAATTCTTGTTTGCGATGTTGTCCTTGTTTAATTGGCATAAAATCATCTTATTTACCCTCAAGTATTCCTGTTCATTACATGTCAATGTCAGATTAGCATTACAGATGTATGGAGCTACATGAATTTAGCACACAGCAAATAATTCACACACACACACACACACACACACACACCCTACTTACCCGAGCTGGCTTCTTCTGGGTCACCTGTTGTGGCTGCAAAGAAAGAGTAAAGAAAGATATTATTTAGATGGCTTATGACAAAGGAAAGTCTCCCCTTTCTCATACAGTCATACCTTGGAACCTGAACGCCCTAGAACTTGGGACGTTTTGGCTCCCGAATGCTGCAAACCCGGAAGTGATTGTTCTGGTTTGTGAATGTTCTTTTGGAACCTGAACGTCTGATGGGGCTTCTGATTGGCTCCAGGAGCTTCCTGCAGCCAATCAGAAGCCGCGATTTGGTTTTCGAAAGTTTTGGAAGTCAAATGGACTTCCGGAACGGATTCCATTCGACTTCCAAGGTACGACTGTACTGTGTAACAAAGCCTTCCTCAATGTGGAGCCCATCAGGCTGTGTTTGAACAGTAGTCCAAAACATCTGGAGAATACCAGGTAGGTGAAGGCCAATGTAACATACAGCGGAAAAACCTCAATTTTTAGTATTATGTGTGATATGATGTGTATCCTTTTTGATTAGAATTATACGCTTATAAATTTCCAGTCTGGGCATTGGGAACAGGTTAAATTTTACAGTACAACAATACAGCTGGGAAAGACAAGAGATTGTTTGCATATTTTCTACAATTATTCTAATTTAGCTGCACATACTTTGTATAACATTCCCATGGCATGCATGAAAATAATGTAAACAAAAACTACAGTTGCGGGACATTTGCAGAATTCTATTAGTCTTCATGGAATTCCAGTAAATATAGGTAAAGAGATAACAGTTCTGTACAAAGTCCATTCCCCATAACTGCTTTTGAGGCTATCCAGATTTGTGTACATCATTTTTGTTCAAAGTATCCCTGTATTTAGAAGGGACCACAAGAGTCATCTAGTCCAACCCCCTGCAGTGCAGGAATCTTTTGTCCAACGTGGGGCTCAAACCCACAACGTTGAAACTGAATCTCATGCCCTACCAATTGAGCTATCCCAGCTGCCAACTGACATTTTGCTGCATTGGTCTGTGTATCTGAAACTTAGGTAGGGAGAGAGTTTTTTGTTTTTCTAATGCATTCATGGAGATTTTTCTTCTCATTATACCAAGCAGAGGACTAAAATACAAGGGTGGTTTGAATAAGAAGTGTCTGGTTTCAATCCTTTTGGAGCATGCAGAGATTCCTTAAAAGAATGAACTCACAGCTTACTGTATTAAGGATACATCATGCAAGGAGTCAAATCTCTGCAGACAATACGTCTATATCCTCTGAAGTAGAACATAAGGGTCCATGGGAGACCAATGTAGGGCCAGGTTTGCAAAATCACCCATGGCTCAACTTTCTAGACATGTTACCAATTTCTTTATTTTTTAATCATTTTTTTAAAGTTTCCATTTTATATAAATATAGCACACACCAGTTTTTGAATTATATTCCACTCTCAAGAGCACTCGACTCCCCTCCCTCCCGGCCTATGATTACCTTAAATTATATCTTTTTTAAAATTGCATTTCAATTTTCCCTCTTTACTCTCTATTCAATTCCAATAATCACTAAATTATATTAATTGTAAATCCATGCTTTCTATAAACTATCAGGTTTTAAATCAGTCCTGTCAGTGCTGTTAAATGTTTAAAATTATCCCTCAAATACTCTATAAACTTATTCCAGTCTTTTTGAAACGTTTGATCCTGCTGGTTTTGGATTTTCCCAGTCAATTTCGCCAACTCAGCATATTCCACCATCTTTGTCTGCCAGTCCAGGATCGTTGGTACGTTATCATAACATTTTAGCTCCCCGCTTTTGAGTTCCCCATCACACTTGAGTTCAAATCAATATGTGGTCAGCCTGGAGTGTTCCCCAGCGCTGTTGAAAATCCAGCCTGTTTCTTAAAGCATAAAGCACAACTTGTGACTTTTCAAAGTCAAATGCAGCCCAAATGCTATGTATGGCACCCCCGTAAACCTTTGGTTTTGTTGCCTGTGGCCACAAAACATGGTTGTAGAACATCCGGCAGGTAGGTTGCATTTAGCCTGGTGGGTCACAAGGTGTACACATATATCCTGGCTTTAAAAGCTAATCTGCCACCCGCCTGTCTTGACCATTAGCATCTATCCTTACATCTCCTTTCATTCTTCAATGCTAAATTCCTTAAAATATGAAATGCTTGCTGAAGACCACCTGAAAATCACACCCTTTGCAGGTCTGTGTGATCTGGCTGTGCCTACTCAGCTGTGAGGTAAAGAAGTTCAGAAAGGCACTTTCTTTTTAATTACTTCACAGCTTCACAGAATAAATCCTGCCCATTTTGACAGTTCTGATCTGGCAAGCCAACTCCTTCTCCTCTTTCAATTCCCTCCTCAAGCTCACATTTCCCCCAGCAAATTATTTCCTGCAGCATACGCCTCACCTGTTCCACGCCGTCTGTTACCAGTTAAATGGACTCATCCTTTCTAGTTTATAAGGTAAAAATGGAAAGGGAAAGGACCCTTAGATGGTTAAGTCCAGTCAAAGGCGACTATGGGGTTGCAGCGCTCCTCTTGCTTCAGGCTGAGGGAGATGGCGTTTGTGCACAGACAGCTTTCTGGGTCATGTGGCCAGCATGACTAAACTGCTTCTGGCGCAACGGAACACTGTGACAGAAACCAGAGTGCATGGAAATGCCCTTTACCATCCCACCACAGTGGTATCTATTTATCTACTTGCACTGGCGTGCTTTCAAACTGCTAGGTTGGCAGGAGCTGGGACAGAGCCACAGGAGCTCACCCCGGCGCAGGGATTCAAACTGCCCACCTTCTGATCAGCAAGCCGAAGAGGCTCAATGGTTTAGACCACAGCGCCACCCACATCCCATTAATTTATAAGAAACCCTACTGAAGGACCACAGTTCAGTGGTAGAGCATCTGCATACTGAAGGTCCTAGGTTAGATCTCCAGCATTTCCAGGTAGGTCTAGGAGAAACCCTGGAGAGCCACCACTAGTCTGTGTGAACACTATTGAGCTAGATGGACCAATGATCTGACTCAAAGGTAGCTGCCTAAGTTCTTCTGTATTCTGTCCAGTAGTAAACCTGCTGGTATTAAGCAAGTGTACTGTCACAAGGCAGGAAAGCTGTGCCACTGGACCACTGGGATAATTGTTCAGAACAGGTGTGGGGAACCTTTGACCCGCCAGATATTACTAAACTACAACTCCCATCAGCCCTGGCAAGTATGAGCTATCACCCATGTTACTGGTAGCTGCCTGGGAACCACATGTATACTGTCTTGATTTCCATGACAGACTAAAGGCGGGACAGAAATGTGAGAAAATTAAAAATAGAAGCAAGGTTCATAAGGGTCGTAGCCAATGTTAATCCTACTCAGAGTAGAACCACTGAAATTAATGTGACTATCCCAAGCCCAATGATTTCAATGGGCCTACTCTGAGTAGTGCTTAGTTGGATGCAACTCAATGTCCTGTCAAGCTGCACATATTCCTGTTTTCTAGGCAGTTATGTGCAGGGAATATCCACATAGTGAGCGGCTTCCCAGGATTACAGTGCCTGCGTGTAATGCAAGTTGGAATTTTTTTAAAAACCACCTCTCTGTGGGGTCCATAATATTTGAATAGGCCCTCAGTAGAAACTTTGGGAAATGCTGAATTAGAACATGGCAATAAACACATGGAACAAGCATCCACTGCCATCATGGAAGGAGACACTCCAGAACTGAAGAATAAATTCCAGCCCTGCCAAAGGAGAATTCTTAAACAGAGCACTCATTCATTCACAGCCATTCTCCAATTTGCCTTAGCAATTACTGCAGGATCAAAGCCACACAACACCAACTAAATGATACAACGTTATATACCATGGGTTAGATTGTTATATATCATTGTTATATATCAACAATTATTAATTTTCTTCAGTTGAATAATGTCTTCCCTGTTTTAAGCCTTAAATGGCTTCATTTTGAGTCACACAGTTTTTCCATGCGAAAGCTAGGAAACACATAAGTAATCTAGAGATTGTATTCCCCCCCCCCCCCCGGCCCAAACTTTTGGTGGAAATCTGAAAAAAAGTGAGTTTTCTAGCAGCATGTCTCTTTTTCAGAAATGAAATGGTTTGAGGAAGACTTAAAAATCTGCCCCCCTCTCCGAGGCAAAGAAAAAAGATTGAACTAGTTTGTAGAAGTACAATCAATCTATCCAGGATCACAAATCCACACTTTTTAAATTACAAGCCATAATCTAGCAGGCAAAGACGTTATCAGCCTTTAGACAGCAAAAGTCCTGAATGAGTAACATTCCTATAAACTTTGGTCTGCATCCAATCAGTCAAAGTACAATGTTTTCCTTTTGCTGTTTTCATGAATGGCTGCAGTATTGTGCCTCGGTTCAGTCAAGACTCCTCTTCTACAGCCATTCATAAAAATAAAAACACACCAAAACAAACACGCACAAAAACTTTCTGGGTCCAGCCTGGAGCCACTGGGTGCCAGAGGCTGAGAAAACATACTGGCAGCTCCAACTCCAAACAGCATTGAAGTATTCAGGGATCTGCTTGGTGGTCTGTAAAGTATGAAGTGCTGTGTGGAAGGGCAGCTGGTAGAATTACTGTGACACATACTAGGCAGTCAGCCAGAGTTGGCCTGGTTTCAGACATTGTCTTTCCTCTCATTGAAGTGTCAGGACCTAATTCATGGAAAATTTGGTGAATTGGCAGCTGTTTCAGAGGATTTCATTGAGTTGCAGTGTGCAGGAGTCACATGAATGCAGGGTACTCAGCCAAGAAATAGGGGGATTTCTGAGCAGTAGAAACCAGTCAGCCTGCAAGAATGTCCGTGGATTTGATGTGGTTTTGGAGTAAACATGTGTACAGGTGTAATCAGCAGGGGAGGGGAAAGAGGTGGAAGGAGTGCTAATGGCTGAGATTATTAAAGAGAGCAAGGCCTTTTGAAATGCACAGTCTTCTGGCAACAACATTCCAGCCTGAAGGGTGCAAAGGTCTGGTCAGCTCAAAGTTTGCAGTAGATACATGTGTAAGGCGGATCACTGCAACGTAACTGAATCCTGAAAAAAGGCTGCTACTTAAGGCTGAAACAAACAAATTGAACAAACAAGCTGGATAACAAAATGCATTTTTTTTTTTGTATTTGCATTATTGTATTTGCTGAATAGATAGCCTTGCATTTTGAGCTAGCCAGGGCTAAAGGACAATCCATAGTTGACAACAGCCCAGTTAGCTTGCATTTTTAATGGACGTACAAACAATACAGAAATTTAGCATTTGTGCTCCGCTACTTAAGAGGGAAGGGATGCGGGTGGCGCTGTGGGTTAAACCACAGAGTCTAGGGCTTGCCGATCAGAAGGTTGGCGGTTTGAATCCCCGCGACGGGGTGAGCTCCCATTGCTCGGTCCCTGCTCCTGCCAACCTAGCAGTTTGAAAGCACGTCAAAGTGCAAGTAGATAAATAGGTACCACTCTGGCGGGGAAGGTAAATGGCGTTTCGTGCGCTGCTCTGGTTCGCCAGAAGCGGCTTAGTCATGCTGGCCACATGACCCGGAAGGTGTACGCCGGCTCCCTCGGCCAATAAAGCGAGATGAGCACCGCAACCCCAGAGTCAGCCACGACTGGACCTAATGGTACCTTTAATTTAAGAGGGAAGGCTAAATCACTTCCCTGTATTCCAGGACATGCCAGTGCAACCTGAATGAGAGACTTGGATTCGTCCACACTTTGCTCATCCCACAGCTAGTAAGCACAGGTCTGAGAGGTTTCCTGTTTGCCCTGCTGGTCAGCCTGCTCTTTACTGCTGAATCGGAGCAAACATCAATCCAGTGACTTTCCCCGGGGGAAAGTGGCAGGACAAGCGGAAGTATAGACGAGCCCTCAAATAAGCATGACAGAGAAGAAATAAGGTAGAAGGATCTGGATGCTGGGAGGTAAGACACACTTTTTGAGAGAGGTGGGAAAGACTGAGGGACCTTCCAGAGGATCGCTTTATTGAGCACTCGTCC